GTGACTTGCAATTATCTGTTTCAATATATACTTCTTTTAAATACTTACAACTAGCCTTATTTTATGCGTTTTCCTTGGTATCTAAAATACACATCAAAATATAAAATTAATTTCTAGTTCAGTAGAAAAAAAACATTGTAGTCTTACACCAGAAAGGAATGGTAAAATATCATGTATATGTAATAACAAATAAATCACTTTTCCACTGACATTATACACAACTTTGCAGAAATAAATTTATTCTGTGAATTTTGAATGTGTAGTGCAGTTTAAAACACACAGTCGAAATATATCTATATTTTTGAAATAATAATTCTGATTTTTCATGAATCACAGTGGTTTTATAAAATGTTCAATTTTAACAGTTTTTATTGGACTGTACTTTAGACAATATTATATTTTGTTATTTCTCTCTGTTGTAAGACAAGAATGTTTCGTTTCTACTGTAATAGAAATACATTTTCGATTTTGATACGTATTTTAAATACCAAGTTAATCACATAAAATAAGGCTAAGTGTAAGTATTTAAAAGAAGCATATAATGAAACAGATTATTGCAAGTCGCAAAATTAATGTTGTTTCTTTTATCAAAATTTTTTTACAAATGATAGACACAAAAAAATAAAAATATCTTTATATTTCATGCTTTAGAAATAAAAAATATGGCATATATCATATACATTTATTGTAAAAAGAGTATACAAAATGATGTCAATTTCTTAGAAAATATTTTGATATAAATATAGATAATGTGAAGCATATAATATACATTATATATATATATACATAAAGCATATGACGTAATAAAAGTATCTTACAATAAAGAATAAGACAAGCCAGAGGCGGTTTCCTCGTGGACTGGCAATATATAATAAGACAAGCCAGAGGCGGTTTTCTCGTGGACTGGCATTAGAAAACTCTTATTCTTGTCTTCAAGCCAGAGGCGGTTTCCTCGTGGACTGGCAATATAGAATAAGACAAGCCAGAGGCGGTTTTCTCATGGACTGGCAATATAGAATAAGACAAGCCAGAGGCGGTTTTCTCGTGGACTGGCATTGAGAAAATTCTTATTCTTGTCTTCAAGCCAGAGGCGGCTTTGTCGTGGACTGGCAATATAGAATAAGACAAGCCAGAGGAGATCTTTCGTGAGCTGACAATTTTAAATAAATATAATCAGAGGCGATCTAACGTCAGCTGACAGTTTAGAAGAAAGAGAGCTAAAGACGATTTATTCGTGAACTGGCAAATTGTAAGAAATATTGTCAGAGGCGATCTATCGTGAGCTGACAATTTTTAATAAATATAGTCAGAGGCGATCTAACGTCAGCTGACAGTTTAGAAAAAAGAGAGCTAAAGACAATTTATTCGTGAACTGGCAGATTTTAAGAAATATTGTCATAGGCGATCTAACGTCAGCTGACAGATTTGAAGAATACGTATTTATTTTAGTTAGTCAATTTACTGCACGTGTGGTCTGTTTATATTTTATCAGATAATTTATAAGGTCATTTAACCTTTTTTCTCGCAATTGAAATTCTATCGTATGGCTGAATGATGTACATACGAGACAAAATAGACTTATACAAGGTGTCTAATAGATATAAGTTAGATATGATAAAATATTTTATTTGAAAAATGTATGTATAATACTATATGTCTAATTGGAAAAATATGTTATATGCTTTTCCTATTTTTATTCTTATGTAACAAATACAAAATAAATAAATAAGTTAATTAATTATTGAATACATACATATACATATTGAATATAGTTATCTTTATTTTGTATTTTATATAACTGAAATAATATATACTTTCATTATTTTAGTCATTATCATATAAAATACAAAATAAAGATAACTATTTATTGAATATATGTGTATATGTATATATTAATTAATTGATTAATTAGTTATTTAGTATTTACTACATAAGGATAAAAGTAAGAAAAGTATATGACATTTTTCTTCAATGATATATATAGTATTATATGTATATTTTTTATTTATTATTTTGTCATATTTAGTTTGTATTTATTTGACACCTTGTATACGCTTATGTTTTCTCGGACATTATATTGCAGCTTTGCGACGAAATTTCAGTCGAGGAAACAAGCGCAAGCATCGTTTGTTTACAAACTTCCGATGACACACGTACACAGACCACACGTCAGTGTAGTGAGTCACCACTACAAACAAATGCGTACACACGGACCTACGCGGCATAGGTCCGTAGGCTGCGCCGATAATGTCATTTCATTTTTAGTACCATCGAAATGATGGCGCTTTCGCGTCGGAGTTCGCCCGTCACTTCAGCATCCTCTTAAATGATTTATTAACATTCTATTTGATTTATTAACATTCTAGAAATATACATTAAAACTTGTTGAAAACTTGAGAGGTTTTAATAATTTCATGGCAAATATCCGATTAGTCTCATATTATTCAGATTATTTTTGTTATTTGTTTTTTCGAATCGTAGACTCGAATTATTAACAAAAGATTTGCTATTTTTAAATCGAGAAGTCAAAGTATAATACGTTTTCTCGATGATTAAAACACACAGTGCCAGCATTATACCACCTGTCACTACCGTTAGAGTCAACGCTATATCCTTTAAATTGACCGCGTCGTATCTAGTCACCGATGGATTGTCCCTTAAGAGATATCCATCTCTCAACTTTCTCATAACACCGTTGTCTTGAAATTGCTGCAAGCTGAAAAATATAAAAAGATATTCGATACATTTGTATTTAAAATTTGCAATAAAATACTTTTAATGCATATATAAAATAAGCGTATATAATTTGTACATATATATTGTAAATATAAATTATAGATATACATATATTTTATGAACTTACTAATAATTTATTAAACCGATGTAAGGATTTCCCTTCCTTAAAGCTAATGCCAAGCTATCACTTTTTCCGCTCTCTATCTGCAGGACTTTACATGGTACATAAATGTTTAAAGCGTTTCTAAATACTTCCGTGGTATAAAATGCATATTTCTTCTGTCCGCATAGCTGCCCAAAAATTGACATAAAACAACTTGAGGAAACTTAACATTGTTAAATTAATTAATTAAATAAACCAAACTATTAACTTGTTTGAATCCATCTGATAATGTTAACGGCAATTGCTCTTTCTTCACCATTAAATCGTACATTTTTCGAAACACGGGGTCTTTGAGATACTGTAATTTAAATAATGATAATTTGAGATTATTTCTGTTGCAATTAATATATCACATCTTCTTTACAAACTTTTATAACATAATTAAATTAAATTTAATATAAAAATAAAACTAATTTACTACACATTTATTATGTGTAAACTCACAGTACTCGTGCGCATATCATATTCAGCGCTATTTCTCATAACGATTAATTTATAAGAACCATCCTTAACGTAACTCTCCATAGTGGAGAAAGGCAAGCTAGTCGTAGTGAGCGTCAGGAAGCTGATCAACGAGGCAGAATAGGCAGCCATAATTATCAACGATGAGATGTGAATCGAGAAAAAAGCTAATCTCATTGACGATTTATTAGGAAATTCTAGAATTTCGCAAAAATATGTTATTTCAGTATTAAATGTATTTCGTGTTGACACACAAATTTAAAATTAAATAATAGTACAAATAATTTGAAAAATTTATATCACACAATATCAATATGTATTAATTGTAAATATTTCTAATGTAAGCGTTACCTGACAAACCCTGCTGGCAATAAATACCCCAAACATTAATATAACTCTCTGATATTACATTTATCGAGAATCCTTTTGCTTTTATAATAGTTAATAGAATAGAAGCAGTTATTATTATCACCACTAACGTTATCCAAATGTCAGAGCTAAATGCCTGAAAAGTTTATATATCGCATTCAATTTTCTATAATTTAGTGAATCATTTTTATAATTTCAGAAAGAAAAAGCTTTTTACGTTATTATCTAAACTTTGTTAACATCATGCATCTTTACGCATTTTGTAAATTTATAAATTTTATATCTAATTTTTTTGCAAAAGAAGAAATGGGACAAATCATTTTTAAAAAATTGCTCCAAAAACGTTCCAAACTTCAACTAGCTATTTTTTTCAAAATATAATTAAATTATCATAAATAATTTTATTTTTAGTTTTTAATTCTTCGCTAAAGTTTAATTATGATACATCTATATATTATAGAACTTGAACATGATTACCTTGAAGTATCCAGACCATGGCACATCGGAACCGCTGGGTTCTTTAAAATAGAGGCAATTTCGCGAGAGCATCAACGGCAATGTGAAATCGACGACATTTAATCTGCCAGACGTAATGGTGAATTCAGAAACGCCAATGTCGGCCTCGTCGAATACCAGTTGACCGATTGCACCGGTCCATATATTCTGTGTATAACTCCAGCTGCCGTACGCCTTTACCGGATTCAGAATCTTCATTGTAAAATTCATCACTTTACTAAGCTCTACCATCAGCAGTCCAAGAAATCCGTTGATTTTGCCGTTTCTCATCGTGAAAAACGGTGAATCCTTTGAATGTCATTTATCAATAGAATCATCAAGTCAATTTATTACGAGATTAATGAGTTATAAAGTATTATAAGATTCTAATATTGATTTTGCGACAAATTATCAAATGACATTTTTATTTCAATAAATTTTGTACAAATTCATTATTTATAATAATTTATTTTTATTTTTAACAGTAATATGGCCTATGATAAAATTGAAAGAAGATATGCTTACATCCACGTACGCCACCCGCATAACGTCACCAAACATATTGTTCCGTCTAGCGTAGAGGCTTTTCTGCGTCCTCAAAATTAAACCTTTATCAGCGGTCCACGTGGCTAGTTCGAACGTTCTGGTGTGATTATCACGAATAGCGTACCACTCGACCAGGATCGGATGATCGTAGCACAGTACCAGCATGAGAGTGCTGAAATCCACGTTGAATACGTTATCCGTGGGATGTTCGCAGTACTTCTCGAGCGGATTCCCAGGATGCTGAAGGAACATCACGAACCAGGTGGGAAAAGAAATAGGCTTTATATTCCTTGTCGCTTTAGCAAATTCACTCATGGCTTCTCTGGTGTCGAGAAGAACGACAAATAATGGCATTACGATGGTCTTTTGGTACCTATTGTACTCGTTCACCATATCCGAAAAGGTAATGGTCACGGACATGACCCGCTGTCGTGAAAACTCACGTGACCAGGTGTGCACCAATGTCGTCATGTTTAAATCTGTATAATATAATTTCAACTTTGAATTGATAATATTTAATATTTTTAATGATTATTTTAGTACTAATCGCTAAAAGTATATTCTATGACATTATTATAATATGTAAAAAATAGTTAATTTGCATAAAATTCTTTGTTATAATAAAATGCAAATGACATGGAAGCGCGAAAAGCGGAAGTTTAGTACTTACCGTGATAACTGTCCGATTTTACGAAAATAACAGATGAAGTGTGATAATATTTGTGGACATCACTGATCAGTCGGAAATAATTGTTAGTATCTATTCTTACTGTTAACACTTTAGCGGCCAACGTGAAAAAAAGTATTGCAATCGATTGTACTATTATATGTTTCATCCCGAGGCGTAAAGTTGAAGTGACTTGATGCGAAGAAAGTTAATTATTTATAATTAATTCATTCATTATTAATTTAGAAAAAAAGATTATTTTTCTCGTAAGAATTAAAATAAATGAATAAGAACGGAAAAAAATATCAGGAAAAGAAATCGGCACCTTAATTCCCAATTTCTACTAAGATAGCCATCGTAAACGGAATTTTTTTATGAATTAAAGAACAGAATAGAATTCCGCGATTCAAAGTTGCAAATGCACGACTGAATGATGCATCCTCACAAACGTTTGAATTTATCGGATTTGAGAATCTAAGGATGCGAACAAGTGTACTACCGGATAGTGAATGTGCAGTTTCATTATTACAAATTACACATACGTTTCTTATCAGCAAATCATCTGCTAAATCATGAATTATTGATTGTTTATAGTTGTCGTCAAGCTTCCGCAATCAGCATTTCTTGCCCGTATATCATTATTTTAAATATGTCAACGTATTTTAGTTTATCACATAAAGATCAGTTTACACATTTAAGCTTATGAAGAGAATATATCGCATATTCGCAAGAGTGACACAAGTAAAAAAAAATTGTTCAAGAGAGAGGAAAGAAGAATTGCGTTGGATTAATAATAATTGCTATCAATAATATTGTGAATTAGTTTTTATCTCAAATTCTGTCGCAAATTATAAATTATCTGAAGCAAGCTTGATATTACGGAAAATAATTTCATATGTCTATGCTTGGTTAAACAATAATTTTAAAATTAATTATTTGCGGCAGTGTTAAACATTGCGAATTTACGCGGAAAATATTTGAATTCAACTTGTATAATTTTTCCTAATTGAAGACCGTGTATTTAAAACACAATCCGCATATAAAACAAAATTCGAAAAATTTCGATTTGTGTCACTTTTTTAGCTGATGTGCGATATTTATAAAAATGCGATATTTTGAAAAAAAATATAGAAAAAACTTGTTGATATCGATAGTTCGATATATCGCTACTGGTTACCTAATCACATTTAGCACAGTGTGATAACTCACAATATATAAAAAAAAATTAAATATTAATTAGGTATTTTTATAAAAAACAATATAAAAACTACAAACCAGATTTTAAACATTTGCTTTTTTGGATAATATTATACTAAAACAATACTTAATCAATTCGCTATATTGTAATCTTTATTTTATTTTTATATTTTATTTAGCATTTTACACGGTGTCGCAAAAATAATTTATAATAATTCAAACTTTAAAAAGTGATACAGCGATTAAGAAAAGATGATATGCAAGCGTCAATATTATTTAATCTTTGTTGCAAATTCACAAATAGGCACACACAAAAATATAGGATGTTTTTACACTAATTCCAAGTGCAAAAATTTATATTAAACGAATTTGCCAATTTAAAATATTTCGATTATCGTTTTTTAATAAACAATTGTTTTTTCGAATAATAGAAGACCTTCGATTCAAATTTTTTTTTTGTATATCGATAATAAATTTTTTCTGTGAACAATACAATAATACACAGGACAAAGCCTCCACAGAGTATTGCCAAAATTGGAACGACGCCTGCCACGTGAACCGGTTCATAAGCCTTACTTTCAAATGACTCCATTAAAAACGACGTATCTTTCAGACGCATCATCATTCCATTATCCAAAAATTTTTGTAAACTGTAATAAACAATAATTACAAACTTGACAGTAACAAATATGTATGAAAATATACTAAACATTTTTATGGTACTCACTGATAATTTATTACAGCAGTGTATGGATTTCCTTTAGACAGAACTATCCCTAAGTTGTCTATTTTTTCGGTACCGACAGCCGACAGTTTGCACGGAATTCTCATCTCTACACTTTTCTTCAAAGCATTTAACGTCATATAAGCGACATTTTTTTCATTGCATACCTAAAGAAACAATAAATAATAAATAATCTCGCTACGTGCATCGTACGCTTAAAAATAAAAAATATAATTTGAAATAATTGAAATAATTTTATCGAATAAAAAATTAACAGCAATATTAGCTACATTATTAAAATTGATTTCCTATTTATTTTAATATGCTTCGATGCAAAAATACAAATATTTTAATCGTACTTGCACGAAACCATCGATTAAAGTTACTGGCAGTTCCGATTCGTCCTTCATTAATTTCATCAATCTCATTGAGAAAGTTTCCTCTGACGCCTAAAACAATTGCAAAAATGCTTTGTAATACATAAATAAATGCTGAATATATGTATCAACATTAACAAGAATGTAGCAGAATTAAATATGATTGTAATTTCAAGTATAAGTACAATCAGTTATAACTTCAATCGTCTAAAAATCGTCAGAAGAAAAAGTAAAAAAAAACGGAAATTCTTAATTATTGAGCAAACTTACGGCGATTACGTCGTAATCAGCACTACCGCGTGGAAGTATCAATTCATAAGTACCATCGTTGACAAATTCGTCGATTGTCCGAAAAGGTAAAACACGAGTGCACGCCGTTAGAAAGCAAACTAACGCTGCCGAGTAATGAGCCATTATCAGCACTGCTGTTAAAAATATTGTAAAATACGCAAGACGTAGCGGCGAAGACGTCGGAAACTCTAAAGTCAAAAATTAAATTTTAATTTTATCAACAAAATCTTTGAATTTTTTATTTAATATAATTAAAATTATATAATTTTATTTTGTTATTTAATAAAGTAATTAATAAAGTAAAATTTAAGTATTTAATAAAGTAAAGTAATTATAAAGTATTTTATAAAAATTTTATAAATAAATATATTTATAATACTTAAAATTTGCAATTTATAGCTATAAGATAAACTATAAGTAATATAATACCTATAAGTGCTTGCTGACAGAAGATGCCCCAAATGCAAAGAAAATTATCAGAAATCAAATCGACAATCTGTCGAATTCCACGAACCGTTTTCATGTAAGACTTCATATATGACAATAAAAGCGGTGTAATTGCTATTATCATAACAAGTGCAATCCAAATTTGTGAATTAAAAGCCTATTACAATTATACAAGTTAAAAAATTATTAAGTAATTTATAGTAAAAATTTTTTTTTTAATATTTTATTTTATTTTATTTTTGAAGAATAATAAAATATACAAATAAACCCAAGATGCGTTTATTTTATTGCAATTAATATTAATTGCAATTACCTGGAAATAACCAAGCCACTTGACACCGCAAATCGCCGGTTCTTTGATAAACAAGCTATTTTTAGATACTATCAAGGGCAGCGTGAAGTCGACGTCTTTTATTCGAAGACTGGTCATCGACATATCAGCGATAGCGAAGTCCGCGCGACCCGACACAATTTCACCCATCACTCCGGACCAAATGTTATTTTCAAAATCATATGTGCCGTGGTCATCCAATTCCGAAACAATCTTCAGAGTAAAGTTAAGAGAATACTGAAGCTCTTGTAACACTTTTCCATACAAATTGGCCACATAGTTCTCAATATTTGGCAATGAAATCGGTACATCCTTAATTGGATTAATAGCAAAGAATTAAATTGAGAATTAATTTTGATAATAATAATTAAATAAATTTTGGAAAATATATAATTTTTAATGTATATTATTCGTAATATAATGAAACTTGGAAAAGATTAGTTGATAAAATTTGATGACGAATTGACGGAAATTGATTATATGTACAAATGCAAGCTTGTAAAAATATTTTATGCAAATATCAAATTTTCTTCTGACACGTGGACTTAATTATAAGATGTTTAGTATATAATTATTCTTATGCCAATAAACCACTTCGAAAATCTTGTTGAGAACCTTAACCACGACGGCTCGCAAAACAACTCCTTCCAAATCCTTCCTTCGATCATAGAGAGACACGTTCGTCAGAGAAACAAAGCCCTTGTCATCTTCCCATACTGCTATCTCAGAGGTCTTAACAGTCTCGCCTTTGACCGAGTACCATTCCCGCAGAATGTCTTCGTCATGACACAATACCAGCATTTGCGTGTCGAACGCTATGTTGAAGGGATTACCTATTGGCTCAAGACAATAATTATGGGTATCATTGGCAATTGGATAGAGAAACAGCACAAACCACACAGGAAAGGACATGGGATAAGTTTTAGTGACTTCGGCAAACTCCTGATACGCCTCAACGTTAGGCATGATAACGATGGTGATGGGCTGTACTATTTGATTATGGTATCTGAGCGATCTTTCCATCTTTTTGAAAAACATATTCACGGTCACCACGTAGTGCTGGCTCAGCCTACGGGAGCATGCATGCACCAAGTGTGTGATCTCCAAATCTACGAGAATCGCAGCTTAATGAGCTTGATATTTTGTACTAACTTTGTAGTAAAAATACATTTTCTAAAAATTTGCCTAAACAAATTAAATCTACAATAGTTCTGCTGTTTCTTTTACTTCGTCAGTTTAAGGAAAATTATTGGAAGATATTGGAATGTTGCAAACGTTTATTTAATTAAATTAATATTTACGAAACACCTATGCAATAATAACATATATCGTTTTAAACTGACCTCCATAATCCTTGTAATCATCTCCGGGATGGGCAAACATAACGGTCGCCGCGGAATAAAATCTCCGGATGCTCAATATCACATCAACGAAGACGCTGATGTTGAAGTGTCTTTCTGCTGAGCTTAGAAGAATACAAAACAGCATTGAATACATCATACAGAGCGGTAATCTCATGTCGTCAGCGTAAGAGGAGGGCGAGAATGGCACAAGAGTTTGTAGCACGAGAGGCAGAAGACCAACTAAACGGTTAAAATTTCTGTTAAGCAGAGCAAATGTTTGCTTATCGACCAATGCAGGGCAAATGCAGGGACATATCAGACACTTTCAAATAAAATAAATTCGCAGAACTTTTAAAAATGAATAATCAAACATGAAATAATTTTCTTGATTATTATTTTATTAAACTCTACTATTAACTATTAACTATTAACAAACAAGGTTTTTATCATTAAAAATATTTATATTATATATATAATTAACAAATTGCAAAACTTAGAAATAAGTGCAACTTATCACACGCAATGTAATTTTTTTAATAATTTTATTACGTCACTGTAAATTAGTTTGTAGTAAATTTCTAATTAACTATTCCAAAAATATTTAAATTACATTGTTGAAGATAATCTTAAAATATTGCATTAAAATAATATTAATTCTTGGATTTGATTTTTATGTGAATCACTCATATGGATATAAACGCAAACAGAAATGAGATCTCCGTTACGCAACCAATTTTACGTCAATTTTATGTCAATCGACAAATTTCAAAATCTCGAGATCTAATATACACATCCGACCCTGACATGTTCATGCAGAAAATGCACATTTCAATTTATAACATTGTATCAAGTGTATATTTTGCAAATATATGACTGACCGATATCACTTCCATTAGAAAATTGCGACCACAAGAGCTGATTTCATCTTAAACAAGCATTTATCAGACTGGATGTTATCGAATGCTATTGATATTTTTGGTTGACAGGCAATATAATATCTCTGTCTCTTCCTTCATGCTTTCTTCTCGGTTGTAAAAAATTGTAGCATAATTATTTTCTCGAATTATATTACAATATTATGTACACATAATTTTTTTTTTTTCGTACGTGATATATAAACCATGAGATATAAGGATAAAGGATTGCCCTTAGAACTTCAAAACACGATAAAAATAAATATATAAAATGATGTCAAATGAATATTATATTCATATACAATACATCTGTCATCTCTGTTTATATGATTACTTCCTGGAACAACATATGGTTATTTTCGAAGTGTTTGCATAAGAGATGATTCATTCATCAACGCGACCGAAGAGACGTGGTCATCATTAAGCTTGTCTTGTAACGATTGCCGCTTCAATAAGTGACTCGGTGACAATCGTGACCGGCTTAGTTGATTCTAGAACGTTTTGCATTTCGTTTGATCAAATGAGAAAGAGTCAAATTAATGCCGTTAATTTATGAACTACGAGAAAATAACGATTATTAATATTAATTAAAATTAATTACAACTCAAATTTTGTTGATATCGGTATTTAACATTTTTTGCTTACGCAAATTATTATTTCAAATAATATCGCAATTTATTAAATTAATACATGTGCAATTACATACACGTTATATCCAGATTATATTTAATTGTAATTTTTAATTTTATATTTAATCGCGATAATTTCTGTAATTACATGCTCTCAGTGACATTTAATAATAAAATTCTTTTTATGAATATTTTCTATTAAGCAAAATAGAATTCTTTATCATCATGTTTCTGCAAATAGTTCGAAAAAATGCATGAATAGAATTTCTTGTTAAAAATGCAATATCGTTTCATCGATAATTTCAATCATAAACGATAGCACATTTGATAATCACGAAATGAAGCACGTCGTATTCATCGTTAGCTTATCGCCGCCTTGCTATTTGTATATTTAATGTGTAATGCATATATAGAATGAAACTACATAAATGTAATAATAATTTTTTCCTCGCACATGTGCAAACAGGTCTAGAAAACGTGACTCCACGTCACAGAACTGTTGCGAATGAATACGCACTTTTCCCTACTACTTTCCAGACGCTTCGAGACTGTTATGTCTGCGACATTTCTAGATTACTCTGCGCCTTCTGCGAGACTTTTAATGTTTGCAAATCCGCAGCAAATAAAAACATATGCTGGATGTGTCTATAATATAACTGGATTCTATTTTCTAATATACATATTTTCACTGTTTGACACTGGAAGTAGTATAATCATTTTTAACGACTATTTTAAACATTTTTTCCAAGCTATATATGCAATATTATAAATTCATATAATTTTCTGATTTTTGACATTTTAACTTTTAACTTCTTTATTTATTTTATTCAATATTACTGTAGCATTAGAAGAGTTTATTTGATTCTTGAGTTTAATTAACTCTTATTATCTAATACTTCCAGTGATAATCGTACGTATATTTATATTCTTATTCGTTATTCTCAATTTCTTCTTTCTTTTTGTTTAGGGATAGTGCAAAAAATTATTTATTAATCATTATTTAAAAATTTATTTCTACCAAAGAGAAAAAAAAATAGAAATGAACTAATTCAATTTCTTACAGATCTTAAAATGTCAGGAGTCATGATATTTTTCTTTAATAATAATCAATTAAGATATTTTACACTACTAAATTTGTTTAAATCATTTGCAAGAAGTTTGTAGAAAGTATACGAAGCTTTATGATGTAACCTTACGTGGTGCAATGTTTCTAAACGATTCTGTCATTTTCTCGTGAATCATCGTGCTCATGCAGCGCAGTTACGTATTATCGGTCAAAATAGGCAACCTCATTGAAGAATGACGCAGCGCCACCAACTTCCTTTGTTTGAATCTCCGCAAAGATAAATTTCTTTCCCG